TTGTACATTCTATGGGTTTTGACAAATATATAATGATATGTATCTACCACTGTAGTGTATCATACAGAATAGTTTTACTGCCCTGAAAATCCTCTGTGTTCTGCCTATTCATCCCTGTCTCCCCACTAACCACTGGCAACCACTAACTTTTTTACTGTCTTCACTGTTTTGTCTTTTCCAGAATGTTACATATTATGTAGGTAGCCCTTTCAGATTGGCTGTTTTCACTTAGTGCTATGCATTTAAGTTTCCTTCATGTCTTTTCATGGCTTGATAACTCATTTCTTTTCAGTAATGAATAATATACCATTATCTTAGATATACAGTTTATTTATTGATTCATCTACTGACGGACATCCTGGTTGCTTACAAGTTTTGGCAGTTATGAATCAAGCTACTATAAACATCGGTGAGCAGGTTTCTATGTGGACATAAGTCTTTAGTTCATTTGGGTAAATACCATGGAGCATGACTGCTGAATCATATGGTAAAAGTGTGTTTGTTTTGCAGGAAACTGCCAAACTGTCTGCTTACTTTAGATTTAATTTGTTTAATTTGTTCTTCTATTTCTAGTTTCCTAAGGTAAAATCTTAAATTATTGATTTAAGAACTTTTTTATTTCTAATATATACATTCAATGCTATACATTTCCCTCTAAGCATTACTTTCACTGCATCCCATGGAGTTTGATAAGTTTCATTTTCATTTAGTTTAAAATATTTCTAAATTTTTGTGAGATTTCTTTTTTGAACCATGTGTTATTTAGAAATGTGCTGTTCAATCTCCATGTATTTTGGCTACTTTCTATCTATCTTTCTGTTATTGATTTCTAATTTAATTCCATTGTGGTCTGAGAACATATATTATATGATTTCTATTCTTTTACATTTTAAGGTATGTTCAATGGCCTATAATATGGTCTCTCTTCGTCAAACTACCATATGAGCTTAAGAAAAATGTGTAATATGCTTTCGTTGGATAAAGTAGTCTATACATGTTAATTATATCTAGCTGATTGATGATGCTGTTGAGTTAAACTACATCATTACTGATTTCTGCTTGCTGGATCTGTCCATGTCTGATAGACGGGTGTTAAACTCTCCAACAATAATAGTGGATTCATCTATTTCTCATTACAGTGCTATCAGTTTTTCTCTCATGTATTTTGATGTTCTTATATAACATAAAGAATTGTTATGTTGTCTTCGAGTATTAACCCCTTTAATATTATGCAATGCCCTTCTTTATTCTAATAACTTTCCTTGCCATGAAATAAGCTCTATCTGGAATTAATATACCTACTCCAACTTTCTTTTAATTAGTATATCTTTCTCCATCTCTTTACTTTTAATCTATGTGTTTACTTATATTTAAAGTTTATTTCATATAGACAACATATAGGTGAGTCTTATTTTATAATCCATGCTAACAATCTCTATCTTTTAATTGGTGTATTTAAATCAATGACATTTAAAGTGATTATTAATATAGTTTTAGATAAATATCTACCATATTTGTTGCTGTTTTCTTGTGGATACCCTTATTCTTTATTTCTATTTTTGTCTTCCATACTTGTTCTGCCTTTTGTTTCTCAATGTTTCTCATTTTTCACTTCCATTTCTTGTGTCATTGCCATCATTTATTTCACTTATCCAGAATCATGCATAAATATATAATAGGCATACCTCAGAGATAGTGCAGGTTCAGTTCAAAACCCCTGCAATAAAGCAAATATCACAATAAAGCAAATTACACATTTTTTGCTTTTCTAGTACATATAAAAATGATGCTTACATTATATTGTAGTCCATTAAGTATGCAATAGCATTATGTCTAAAAAGCAATATATATACCTTAATTTTAAAATTATTGCTAATAAGGCCGGGTGCGGTGGCTCACGCCTGTAATCCTAGCTCTCTGGGAGGCCGAGGCGGGCGGATTGCTCGAGGTCGGGAGTTCGAAACCAGCCTGAGCAAGAGCGAGACCCCGTCTCTACTATAAATAGAAAGAAACTAATTGGCCAACTAATATATATAGAAAAAATTAGCCATAGTCCCAGCTACTCGGGAGGCTGAGGCAGCAGGATTGCTTGAGCCCAGGCGTTTGAGGTTGCTGTGAGCTAGGCTGACGCCACGGCACTCACTCTAGCCTAGGCAACAAAGCGAGACTCTGTCTCAAAAAAAAAAAAAAAAAAAAAAAATTATTGCTAATAATGCTACTGATCATCTGAGCCTTCAGCAAGTCACAATCTTTTTGCTGGTGAAGAGTCTTACTTCAGTGTTGATGGCTGCTGATTGATGAGGGTGATGGTTCCTGAAGGTTGAGGTGGCTGTGACAATTTCTTAAAATAAGACAATGAAATTTGCCACATCGATTGACTTTTACTTTCAAGAAAGATTTCTCTATAGCCTATGATGCTGTGTGATAGCATTTTACCCACAGTAGAATTTCTTTCAAAATTGGAGTCAGTCCTATCAAATTTTGCTGCTGCTTTATCAACTAAGTTTATGGAATATTCTAAATCCTTCATTGACATTTCAACAATATTAATAGTATCTTCACCAGGAAGAGATTCCATCTCAAGAAACCAATTTCTTTGCCCATCCACAAGAAGCAACTCCTTGTCTATTAAAGTTTTATCATGACATTCCAGCAATTCAATCACATCTTCAGGCCCCACTTCTAATTCTACTTCTCTTGCTATTTCTACCACATCTGCAGTGACTTCCTCCACTGAAGTTTTGAACTTCTCAAAGTATCCATGAGGGTTGGAATCAACTTCTTCCAAATTCCTCTTCTTCATTGTATGGTTTCTCAGAGAAGTCAGATGTAATGTTTATATTTATTCCTCTAGAAGTAATGTATTTTTCTTCTCTGGCTTCTTTCAAGATTTTTTTTTATTTTTATTTTCTCAAGATTGAATATGATATGCCTAGGTATAGGTTGTTTTTGGCATTTATTCTGCCTAGTGTTCTCTGACCTTCCTGGATCTGTGATTTAGTGTCTGAAATTAATTTGGGGAGATTCTCAGTCATTATGGCTTCTGTTCCTTTCCCTCTTTCTTATCCTTCTGGGTATTTCCATTATACATGTTTATACCTTTTATAGTTGTCCCATAGTTTTTGGATATGCTATGATTTTTTTAGTCTTTCTTCTGTTTGCTTTTCCTATCGTCTAAATGTTTATGTCCCCCAGAATTCATATGTTGAAACCTGATCAGCAATTAGGAGATATTGGAGATGCTATTAGGAGATAGGGCCTTTGGGAGGTGATTAGGTCATGAGGGCAGACCCTCATTATTGGGATTAGTATTCTTATAAAGGAGGCCCCAGAGAGATGATTTGCCCTTCCTGATGTGAGGACACAGCTAGAAGGCACCATTGATGAACTAGGAAATAGGCCTTCACCAGACACCTAAAACACTAGCACCTTGATCTTGGACTTCCCAGCTGTCAGAACTGTATTAAAAAATTTCTATTGTTTGTAAGCTACCCAGTTTATGGTATTTTGTTATAGAAGCCCAAATGAACTAAGACAGGTTTCCAGTTTTGGAAGTTTCTATTGTCATATCCTCAACTCAGACATTCTTTCCTCAGCCATGTCCAGTCTACTAATGAGTGAGCCAATCAAAGATATTCTTCATTTCTGTTAGTGATTTTGATCTCTGGTAATTTCTTTCTGATTCTTTCTTAGAATTTCTATCACCCTGCTTATATTATTCATCTTTTAATGCATATTGTATAATTTTTTCATTAAAGCCCTGTTCATAGTAATCATAGTTTTTTTTCAAAATTCCCAATCTGATAATTCTGACATCCCTGCCGTATCTGGTTCTGATGTTTGCTTTATGTCTTCAAACTGTATTTTTTGCCATTTAGTATGCCTTGTAAATTTTAGTTACAATCTCCAGTAATTAGGCCTTTAGTAATGTGGTGGTAAGTGTGGGAGGAAGGGAAGTATTCTCTAGTTCTATGATAGGTCTCAGTCTTCATGAACCCGAGGCCCTGGACTGTGAACTTCACAAGTGCTTCTCAGTTTTGTCTCCCTCCCTACCTTACCTGGGACAGGATGGCTGGAAGAGGCTAGAGTTGGATATTTCCTTCCCTTCCCCCAGGTATATGAGGCTCTTCTAAAACCCCAATGGGTTAGGCTTTGATAAAATAGTTTATCCAGAGGGCAACCCTTATTAAAAGGAGCAAAATACTCTGCCATTTCAAACATTAAGATGGTTCCATTTCCCTCCCCATGCCAGAAGCACAAGGAGGTTTTTCTCTGATATTCACTATGAGAACCTGGTAGATCTTCTGGAGATAAAACTAAAAAAAAAGTGTGGGGGCTCCCCTATTACTAGGTCCCCCTGGAGTTTTTGACTCACAAACTTGTCCACACTGAGCCTCCAACAATTCATCAATTACCGTTTAGGTTTTCCTACCCAGGTACTAGTTCCCACAGAGGTTTCTGCTCATTGGTTTCTAGTCTAGTATGTTGTGATTCTCTATAATTGCCTGTTTGTGTCTCCGAAGGGGGGATGGGGCAGCAGTTTGCCCTATGACCTTACTTCTCTGACAGATAAAAGAGCTGTTGATTTTTTAGTTTAGTCAATGCTACATTCTTTAAAAACATCTTTCAACTAAATTATTATGTAGTCAGTTTTCAGTGTGAACAATTAGTCCTATATTTTATTATTACAGGGCTCTTATCATTTACTGTATTTCAAATAAAAGTAATCAGTGCTACCTGGAGATATCTTAGTTATATTTGGGGTAGAGAATATGAACTATGATGAGAACTTTTGAGTGTTGGAATCCTGGTTCATTTATTTAGAAAAATAGGCCCGTGTGCTTTTGTGTCCATCTCTTGTTGCCGCGGCCAACTCAGACCTAAAGTTCTTCAAGAGGCTTTTTATGCATGTTAATTTAAAATACCAACTTTTCATGGTACTTAGATGAACCACAATGGAATCTAGAAATATGGTTTAATATTTTAACTTGATTGTTTAGCCTTAGTGTCACAGGCAGAAGCTCTGAAAGAAGAAAATGACAGCCTTCGTTGGCAGCTTGATGCCTACCGGAATGAGGTAGAACTGCTAAAGCAAGAACAAGGTAAAGCCCACAGAGAAGATGACCCAAACAAAGAACAGCAGCTGAAGCTCCTGCAACAAGCCCTGCAAGGAATGCAGCAGGTAAAGGCACTTGGGTTTTCTGAGCTTCTTGGAAGGATAGTATTAGTTCCTAACCTGTAGAAGGGTCCCCTGCAAGCAAATAAAGTATCAAACCTGTTATTTTTCTTGATGCCACATTCTCTGGCATGGCTGAGGAAGAAATTATGTGTGATGGTAAATGAAATATTCTGGTTAATACAGAGATAGCAATGGATCACCAATTTTCAAAGAATAAACTTTCAATGAGAAATACTTAACATCAAAACTACACTGAACATAATCTGATTTTTTCTTCATGCTTCAGAAGATACTTCAGGATTTAGGCAGGCTCTCAGGGTCCTTATGAAGAAACTTAATTATTAATTAATAGATATAAAGAAGTGCTGATAAATCAGTATCTAGTTGATAGAATTCCAAATAATACAGCCTTTTAGAAGGAATGGAAGGAAGCCTACCCTTGATTTGGCTGTAAGTAGGGACATTATAGGTTTTTAAGTATCAATGATTTGGGCATCTATTTCCAATTTTTTTATTTTGTTTTCTTTTGTATTAACAGTCATTTATGTGAATGGGTTTACCTGCATATAATTGCAAGAATAAAAAGTAAAGTAACACCTACCTCTGCTGAAGCAGAGAATAAGGACTCACCTGGAAATTCCAGGGCCTTATCCAGCACCTGGGGCATATGAGTGCTTATCCTAAGGGAATAAAGCCACACACAGGACCCCAAAACAACATTGCAGCTTGTTCTTCCAGCAAGCACCACTTACTGACAGAAGGTCAATTTGTATGCCCTTTATAGCATTTACTGACTCAATTTTACATGGTATAGGGGGTCCAAGGAGTGGCCATTTGGAGGACTGCCTACCCTTCCCCACAGAAAAGTCACTACTAGATAAGGGTGGAAAGATCCCAGCCCAGGGCCTTAGAATACAAGCATTTAGGACCCTCCTCCATGAACAGCACTCCCGGTTTGGAAAGCCTGTTCTGACCCTCCTGGTGGCCAGAAAATCAACTTCTGAACCCCTCCCAGGCTTGGCAAAGCCTTTTAGGCTCCTGCAATCCTGCCACTATTTGTCTTGCTCCTCCCCTGACCTCAGGGGAAATAGGAATCAAGCAAACCCCTGGGAGCTACATGGTCCCTCTTAAAGCTTGGGGCATTCATATGCCACACCTGAGGAACCAGAGCTTACCACAGGCACAAGAGACCATCTCAGCAGCTGACTCTTCCACACAAAAATCAATCAATGATGGGGAGAAAACCCCATACCTAAGCATACCACCTCTCAACTCAAGCAAACAGGGAGCAGCTAATTCAAACTCACAAGTACCACACACCATCACTGAGATTAAGCTGGAGGATCTAACTCACTACACATTGTTGGGAAGAGGTAAAGCCAGCAGGTCAGAAGTAATCTGAGAGGTACACCAAACCTACTAGAACACCCCATAGACAACTCAGGATCAGGATTCCTCTCCCTGGAATACTCAGGGCTTGATCTTTGGGGACCTGGAGACAGATCCATAAGCCAGGCCTAGCACTCCCAGGTCTCAACTGAGAGGTCTGATGAAAAGGAATTAGCAAAAGAACTCCAGAAAAGAAAGAACTCTGATGAAAAATCAGAGCAAAAGGACACTCCCCCAAAAAAACCCGATAACTCCTTACCAATGGATGCCAACCAAATGAAAAGATTGAAATGGCAGATGAAGAATTTTGAATATGGAGTATAAGGAAAGTCAATGAAATACAAGAAAAAATAGAAACCCAACACAAAGAAACCACAAAAACAATGCAGGAAATGAATGAAAAATTTACTGAGGAAATCAACTTCTTAAAAAAAAACAGAACTTGCAGAAATGAAAAATTAATTCAAGAAAATTCAAAACACAGTGGAAAGCCTTAAGATTAGGCTACACCAGGCAGAATAAGGAATCTCAGAGCTTGAAGACAACACCTATAAGTTAAACAAGTCAGTCAAAGAGAGAGAACTGACAAATAAGAGAAATTAACAAAACCTACAAGAAAGATGGGATTATGTAAAGTGGCCTAACATAAGAAATATAGTTATCCCTGAGGGCAAAGAAGAAAATACACAAGGGTTGGAAAATCTACCGTGTTTCCCCGAAAATAAGACAGAGTCTTATATTTATTTTTCCTTGAGAAGACACCCTAGGGCTTATTTTCAGGGGATGTGTTATTTTTTTAAGTACAGTACAACAATCTACATTTATTCAAATATATTTAAGTCGTCTTCTTCTGGAACATCATCATAATGCTCCACATCCTGAATTTAATCCTGAATTTCTTGCGACTCTATTTCCTTTAGAACCATTGGTCCCAATCTCTCATGTCGAGCAATAGAGCTCTCATGGGGCAGATGAGAAGGGCTGCTCATCATCTTTACTGCTCCGTGACAAAATGCATGGGTTGTGCAGATATGCTGTGTAGCCATGCCCATCACTAGGTCTTATTTTCAGGGTAGAGCTTATACTGCGTAAATTCTTAGAAATCCTGCTAGGGCTTATTTTATCAGTAGGTCTTATTTTTGGAAAAACATGGTATTTGAGGGAATAATTGAGGAAAATTTCCCTGGCCTTGCTAGAAATATAGATATCCAGGTACAAGAAAATCAAAGGATGGCTGGGAGATTCATTGCAAAAAGGCAATCGCCACAACACATAGTTATCAGACTTGCCAAAGTAAACACAAAAGAGGCTTTCCAATGAGCTATAAGGTGAAAGCAACAGGTACCTTACAAAGGAAAACCCATCAGACTAACTGCAGACTTCTGAACGGAGACCTTACTTAGTTGGGAACCCATTCTCAGTCTTCTCAAACAGAATAATGGCCAGCTTAGAATTGTGTATCCTACAAAACTAAGTTTCTTATATGAGGGAGAAATAAGACTTTCTCAGACAAGCAAACACTGAGGGAATTTGTCAAGACCAGACCTGCCCTGCAGGAAGTCCTCAGAACTGAATTATACAAGGATTAGCACAATAGTCACCCACTGGTATAAAACACCGAAAAGCTAAAGCTCAGAGCCCATATACCTCAATGACTCAAGTGGTAAAACAAAGCAATAAAGTTCTACTTAATAGGATGAACAGAAGTCTACCCCACTTATCAATTCTTTCAATAAATGTGAATGGCTTGAACTCGCCACTAAAGAGACATGGGATGGCTGAATGGATAAAAAATACAAGCCAAGTATCTGCTATCTCCAGGAAATGCATCTAACCCACAAGGACTCATTCATACTCAAGGTGAAGGGATGGAAAACAATATTCCATTAAAATGGAAAGCAAAAGAAAGCTGGTGTATCCATTGTCATATCACATAACATAGACTTCAAATCAGCAAAAGTAAGGAAAGACAAAGATAGTCATTATATAATCATTAAGGGAACAATTCAACAAGAAGACATAACAATCCTAAATATTTATGCACAGGAGCACCCAGATTCATAAAGCAAACCCTACTAGATCTAAGCAAAGAGATACACAGCAGCATCATAGTTGCTGGGGACTACAACCCACTGACAGATCTGGACAGATCATCCAGGCATAAAATAAATAAAGAAACACTGAACTTAAAAGGGAATCTAGAATACATGGGCCTAACAGACATGTACAGAACATTCTACCTCAAAACCACTGAATATATGTTCTTCTCATCAGCTGATGGAACATTCTCTAAGATTGATCATATCCTAGGCCACAAAACATATCTCACCAGACTTTGAAAAAATGAAAATTATACCATGTATCTTTTCAGAATACAGTGGAATAAAATTAGAAATCAATTCCAACAGAAAAACTCAACGTTACACAAAGTCATGGAAATTAAACAACCTGTGGCTGAATGATTATTGGTTAAGGAGGAAATTAAGATGTACATCAAAACACTCTTCAAACTGGATGACAAAGGGGACATAAATTATCAAGATTTGTGGGATTCAGCAGAAAAAGTTATAAGAAGAAAATTCATAGACATAAATGCCTATATCCATAAGATCAAAAGATCAGAAATCAACAGTTTGATGAATCATCTCAAGGAATTGGAAAAGGAAGAGCAAACCAATCCCAAACCCATCAGAAGAAAAGAAATAGCTAAGATCAGAGCAGAACTAAATGAGATTAATAACAAAGGAATTATACGGAAGATTAATGAAATAAAAATGTTGGTTCTTTGAAAAGACAAAAATAATCCACAGGCCTCTTCCTATATTTACCAGAAATAGAAAAGAAAGGCCCCCAATGAAGTCAATTAGAAATGACCAAAGAGATAATACAACTAATACTACGGAAATATAAAATATCATCCTTGAATACTATAAAAATCTCTATGCACGTAAACTAGAAAATATTGACAAAACAGACAAATTCTTGGATACACACAACCTCCCTAGGCTCAATTGGGAAGAAATAGAATTCATGAACAGACCAATATCAACTAATAAAATTGAAGCAATAATAAAAAACCTCCCAACTAAATAAGTCCCAGACCAGATGGTTTCACACTCGAATTTTATCAGACCTACAAAGAAGAACTGGTACCTATACTGCAAAAATTATTTCATAACATAGAGAAGGAAGGAATCCTCCACAACTTGTTCTACAAAGCCAATATCACCTTGATACCAAAGCCAGGAAAGGACACAACAAGAAAAGAAAACTACAGACCAATATCCCCTATGAATATAGATGCAAAAATTCTCAGTAAAACTTAACAAACTGAATTCAGGTGCTTATCAAAAAAATAATCCACCATGATCAACTGGGCTTCATTTCAGAGATGCAAGGATGGTTCAACATATGCAAATCTATAAATGTGATTCACTGCATAAATAGAAGCAAAAACAAAGACCATATGATCCTCTTGACAGATGCATAAAAAGCATTTGACAAAATTCAGCACCCATTTATGATAAGAACTCTTAACAAAATAGGCATAGATGGAACATACCTCAATCTTATAAAAGCCATATATGACAATCCCACAGCCAACATCATGCTGAATGGGGAAAAACTGGAATCATTCCCATTCCAGAACTAGAACCAGACAAGGTTCCCACTGTCACCACTTCTGTTCAACATAGTGTTGGAAGTCCTAGCCAGAACAATCAGACAAGACAAGAAAATCAAGTGTATTGAAATGGGGACAGATTAGGTCAAACTATCGCTCTTTGCTGATGATATGATCTTATATCTAGAAAAACCCAAAGAACCTGCCAAGAGACTCCTGGAATTGATAAATTCAGCAAGTCTCAGATTAAAAAATAAATGTACACAAATCAGTAGCATTTGTATACACCAACAACAAGCTGAGAATCAAATCCAAGACTCAATACTTTTCACAATATCAACAAAGAAAAGAAAATACCTAGGAATATATTTAACCAAGGAAGTGAAAGACCTCTACAGGGAGAACTACAAAACACTGAGGAAGGAAATCACTGAGGATGTAAACAAATGGAAAAACATATCATGTTCATGGATTGGCAGAATCAACATTGTTAGGATGTGTATACTACTCAAAGTGATTTACAGATTCAATGCAATCCCCATTAAAATACCAGCATCATTTTTTTTGAAGATCTAGAAAAAATAATTCTACACTTCATATGGAACCAGAAAAGACCCTGAATAGCAAAAGCAACCTTAAGCAAAAAGAACAAATTGGGAGGCATCAATTTACCAGACTTCAAGCTATACTACAAGGCTATAGTAAACAAAACAGCATGGGACTGGCACAAGAAAAGAGACCTAGACCAATGGATCAGAACAGAGAACCTAGATATAAAACCATCCTCATATTGCTATCTGATCTTTGGCAAAGCAGACAAAAACATACACTGGGGAAATAAATCTATATTCAATAAATGGTTCTTGGAAAATTGGATAACCACAGAGAGAAGACTGAAACAGGATCTGTACCTCTCATCACTCACAAAAATTAGTTCATGATGGATAACAGACTTAAACCTAAGGCATGAAACTATAAGAATTCTAGAGGAAGAGGTTGCAAAAACTCTTATAGATATCAGCCTAGGCAAAAAATTTATGAAGAAGACCCCAAAGACAATCACAGCAACAACAAAAATAAATAAATGGGACCTGATTAAATTAGAAAGCTTCTGCACAGCCAAGGAAACAATCAATAGAGCAAATAGACAATCTATGGAATGGGAGAAAACATTTGCATGCTATAAATCCAAGAAAGGGCTGATCACCAGAATCTATGAAGAACTCAAGTGAATCAGCAAGAAAATAAATCAAACAACTTCATTAAAAATTGGGCAAAAGAAATGAACATAGGCTTTTCAAAAGAAGATAGACTAATGGCCAATAAATATATGAAAAATGCTTAATGTCTCTAATCATCAGGGAAATGCAAATCAAAACCACAATGAGATATCACCTAAATCTAGTGGGAATGGCTTTTAGCAAAAAATCCTAAAACAACAGATGCTGGCATGGATGCAAAGAGAAAGGAACACTTATATAGTGTTGGTGGGACTACAAACTAGTGCAACCTCTATGGAAAGTAGCATGCAGATACCTCAAAGAACTAAATGTAGACCTACCATTTGATCCAGCAATCCCACTACTGGGTATTTACCTAAAGGAATAAAAGACATTTTATTAAAAAAAAAAAAGACACTGGCACTCAAATGTCTATGGCAGCACAATTCATAATTTCAAAGATATGTAAACAACCCAAGTGCCCATCAATACATGAATGAATTAATAAAATATGATATATGTATACCATGGAGCATTACTCAGCCATAAAAATGGTGAACTAATACCTTTTGTAACAACCGGGATGGAACTTGAGACTATCCTTTTAAGTGAAGTAGTGAAAGAATGGAAAAACAAGCACCACATGTACTCAATAATAAACTGGAACTAATTGATCAACACTTATGTGCACATATGGACATAAAATTCAACGGAAATCAAGTAGTTGGGAGGGGGAGGAGGGGATGGGCAAATTCACACCTGACAGGTACAATGCACACTATCTGGGTACCTTTGACTCAAACTATACAAAAGCAATTCATGTAACCAAAACGTTTGTATCCCCATAATATTCTGAAATAAAAATGTAAAAGTAGTAAATAAGTGTTTCTAACTGTAATTGCACTCAGATACAACATTGCGTAATAGATGCTCAAGATAAAGAAGTTTTATGTAACCATCACCACAGTGAGCCTACAATTTAAAAGATATCAACATCTGCTTTCACTACAGTAAAGGATTAGTGCTTCTGAATAAGAGTATTATCCTCTGTCATACCAGACTACCAGCCATTTTCCTTACAACTTAAATTGTGCAATCATTTTTTAACTATATGTCTTGGAATCAGCTAGGGAAAAGCTAATTGCTGATGGGAAATTATAAATTATGAACAGGGAAGTTCTTCTGGCACTAGGAGCTCCATGTTATTATTTCTGCCACCATTGTCTTCCTGTATGACAAGTAATATCACATTAATATTTCACCTTTCCTATTAGCAAAATGTGTGAAGTAATGCTTACCTTCTTTTTACTGTCACCATGGAGTTTAATTAGAACATGTAAATTATATCAGAGATCTTTCTACCAGAAAATGCATCTCCTCAGCTAGACATAAAAGAACTTTGACAATATATTAATATTGTACCATTTTTATCCCTATCAGTGGTCTTTTGCAAGCCTCTGACAAGCAAGACTGTGGAATCATTTTTATTGTTGTTTTTCCCCTCTTACCTTGATTTTGTAACCATTTCACATGAGGACAGTTCTGCTATTCAAATGCAATTTAAAAAGGGTGAACTTCAAAGATCTCAGTGAGAATTAGGTTTCTACCTCCCCAAAAATTAATTTCACTCATTTTGATTATTTTTTTTTAAAAAATAGCCTTGTAAACTATGATAAAATTTCTTCCATTTTATCCCAAAAGATATATAGTATAAAATGGTAGATAAGAATATGGACTCTGAGGTTAACCTGATCTGGTTTTAAATCCCATCTCTGCCACTTACTGTCTGAATGGCCTTAGGGAAGCCACTTAACTTCTTTAAGCCTCAGGGATAATAGAATCCTAGGTTTATTGGGAGCCTTAGATGAAATCATGCATATAAAACCCTTAGCACAATGCTTAGTACATATGAGGCACTCAATGAATAGTACTGTTGAAATTATTAATAATGATCAATCCAGCTCCCTGCCTACTGATAGGGAAACTAACATATGTAACACTTGTATTCTTTACTACTTTCCTCACAGAAATTGAACTTGGCTTAGCAAATGGCTATTTGTGAGAATGCTTTACAACAAGTGTCCTCAAACTATGGCGGCCCACAGGCCACATGCGGGTGTTTTTGCCCGTTTGTTTTTTTACTTCAAAATAAGATATGTGCAGTGTGCATAGGAATTTGTTCATAGTTTTTTTAAAACTATAGTCTGGCCCTCCAACGGTCTGAGGGACAGTGAACTGGCCCCCTGTTTAAAAATTTTGAGGACCCCTGCTTTACAACATCAAGTTCACTTCTATGCAGCAATTAAGACATTGTCCACATGGTATTAACTGCACCCTGCCCTTACTCCAGGCCAGAATAGAGAAGAAGTTAAGTGACTGGATCAATTAGTTTCTCAGGCCCTTTCTAAAATATGAACAAGTTCAAAGGAAGTTCATAAGAGCCAGATAAAATAACTTAAAGTGAGAAATATCTTGATTTTCCCAATCACTGCATGGAAAAATGATCGTGTGTGCTAGGGAAAAGTGAAACAGGCTCACCTGATATCTAACCTCAGCCAGGGATTTTAAGTGAAGTGCGGATTCTTAGTTGGTGACTTGACTGTCTTTTGTCTTTCTTGTAGCATCTACTCAAAGTCCAAGAGGAATACAAAAGGAAAGAAGCTGAACTTGAAAAAGTAAAAGATGATAAGTTGCAGGTGGAAAAAATGTTGGAAAATCTTAAAGAAAAGGTACATGTGCCCTAAGTGAACCTTTTCCCTTGACTATTTAACCACTGTCAGTGACAATGAAAATGCTCTGGAAGTTACCATAATAGGAATCAATGTGGAATGTTTAGCTGATTAGGGATTAAAAGCCCTTCTCCATGGTAACTTGTATTAAGGGATCTGCTTTTAGGTATGAGTCCTTAGCATTTCTAAGGATTCTAGAGAGTATACCTTTTGATGAATAAGAGGTCAGTCCATCCCTAAAATTCCTCAGTCTTCCCCCTTGGAGAAGACCAAAATGTACACCTCTTCCCTGCTTCTCGTTATCAAGAAAATAGCAATACTGAAAATTTATGTGACCCAAGGTAACTTTAAACATTTTGTTAAAGGAACACAAGTGCACCATAGAATGTTGACATTTTATTGCAGACACTCCATCTAGTGTAATAATGAGCAGCTGCAAGTGAGAATAGTAGCCAATACCAAAAGGAGGGAACCCTTGGATAGAAACAAGGAGACACAGTATTCTAAAGCTAGAGACTAGCAACTGGGAAGTCAATATAGAACTTTATCAAGTGAAAGCCCTCAGTAATAAGAACTACCAGTGAGGATCTCTGAGAGCATCTGCTAACATCTGGATAGATTAGTTTATCACAACCATGAATCAGGTGCCTGGTCTGTTCAAAGTGTATAAAGTCTACTAATGGCTGACTCTCTGTCATACCTCTTCAATCTCCTTGATGCATGGACATTCAGCCGAAGTTATCCTCTGAAAAGAAAGGCCCATTGACCAGAACTGCCTGCTTTTAATGTCTCTGAAGGAAGAGAATATTATAAGCTTGGACCAAGAGTCAGAAATCAACAATGATACTCTTCCTCAAAAGCTCATGCTCTTTATCTTCTGTGTTCAGCTCAAGAAGATGCAATGCACACAGGTCCTGGGTATGTTTACCAGCACAATGCCTTCCCCCAGAGTGCCATTAAGAACTGGCAACCTTGGTGTAGTTGAAACATATGATTGAAAGTGTTTTCTTCTAGAGGCCATTTGCAATATGCTTTTAATTCTTCCACTTCATAAAACCAACTCACTTCCCAGTTTTTGTGGATACTATTAAAGAAACAAGCACAATCCCAGAGAAATTCATTTATCAAACATTTAATTGAAATGTGCCAAAGCTGCTCTCCTAATCAGGACTTCCCTCATGCTATCAGAGCTTCTAAATGTCCCAGAGCTGCCACATAACTCTGTTTTGCTTTGCACATAAAGCTGAGTATGTAGCCAGAAGACTATGTAGACCTGGGGTTATGCTCATGACATTATGCTTAAGATCACTCTTCAGGATTGACATCACAAATTGACTTAAGGACATTTTTCATGTAAACAGCTTTCTGCTTTGTAACATATTTCATTTAAAGAAGCAAGAGGCCAAATGGCATAGGAGAAGCATGTCATCCTGTGCCTAATGATAAGTGTTTCTTATTTGAAAACTGAATAGACCATGAAATGGCAGCTAAAGAAAACAGGGAATGAGATCCAACTGATAATCCATAAAAAGTCAGTCAAAATATGTTTTCCCTGTTATTTAAGCAAAGCTTCTTTTAGAGAAATTCATGACAGTTCATTATAAACTGATCTTCTCTGGGAAGCTGACTTGTGACCAAATATTTCAACCTGACACAATTAGGTTAGGAAGCAAAGTACCATTACATTAGACTGCAAAAATAATTTCAGGTTGAAAGGAAAGCAATACGTTTTGGTGAAGAGGGATCCTTTTTTGTTTGTTTTTGTTTGGGTTTCTTGACAGTAAGCTACACTGTGAGTTATTGTCAATGTTTTGCAATATAACAATGTGACTTATGTCTGTCTTACTGCTGAAAGAACTAGCTCTTTGAATCAGCTAGTAAAATTCAGGGTGATAAGCATCCCTTCAATATACCATCTAATTTTATAAATGCCAGCTATAATAAAACTGAAGTCAGGTTTCAGTAAGGCTGCAGTTCTATTCAGGATGGCTAAAACTTCTCAGAATATCTTCACATCTTAAATCAACCCCAATCTGTTAAACTTTCACACTTGAGAAATGGCTTACTGGATCATTTAATGTTTTAAAGGGGTTAGAAGCAGATGTGAAGCCCGTGGCTTAGAAGTGAGCCAGTAGTATAAATCAAACGTGGCATAATGGTTACTGCCTGGATTGGATTCTAAGGGCCAAAGATTGAGTAGATGATCAAGAAAGGGTTCCCTTCTGACTATAGTCAGGAAGCCTGTAAATTCTCAAAACAACATGTCTTGCAGTCTAGACCATTCATTTCATTCAGAGACAGCATCCTGGAAGCTTTGAAAACATCTTTAAAGAAAACAGAAGGAATCCTGTCCCTGCCAAGGGCTTGTGGAAGGGAAGAAGTAACAAAGCATGAGTCAGCCATGATATCTGCCCCACAAGGAGCATTTCACCAGCATTTGCTTTTACCCCAATAAGAGACCAAAGCAGTGATTTCTTTTATTCCTTCTTTTTTTTATATAATTTTATTTATTTTTTTTCTCAAATTCTGTGGGTACAAAATATTGTTAGGGTTACATGTCTTGCCCCTGCCCCCCTCCCCACCCCACCCCACTCTGCCAGAGCTTCAAGCGTGGGTATTCCTTCTTCTGAAGCTTCTTCCTTCACATTTATAATACAGAAAAGATATTCTCAGTACCTAAAGAAAGAAAGATCCATGAAAGTTCTGGGGGTATTTTTCAGTTTAATTCCTGCTCATGTATTTAACCTGAGATTTTCTTACAAAACATACCTGCTACACTCAGAAAGAGAAAACCTTTCAACAACAAAGAAGGCCATTGGCTAATGATATTTTTGGTCATGGTCATTTCTTGCTATTAAATCACAAATATTCTAACTAATAATGATCTTACAGAAAGAAGAGAGAAAGTTGCTAATCAATAGATAAAGGCTCTTGTTTTTAGTTTAAAAGCCAACAGTTGATTATCCGTAAGTGGATTGGCTACACTGTAGATTGTCCATTCAGAAATGGAACTTACAGAGTAGGTACCTAAAGTTAAAAAAGAATGGTCTTTTAACAGTGGATGACTTGGGATGAAATCCTAACTCCACCACTTCCTGGCAATGTGATCTTAGCCAACTTTTCTAATTTATCTGAGCCTCACTTTCCTCATCTGTAGAATGGAGATAATGCATATCTAATAATGCCTAGCATCTAGTTAGTAGACAATAAATGTTTGGTCTGGTTTCCTGGATTACTTGTACAGAGTCAGGAATGATAAAGGCAGAAAATAAAACTGGTGAAGATAAATGTTTAAATCATTCTGTGTTTTGAAGCCATGTAAAGAAGCTTTGGAATACCTGCAATGCTTTTGTAATTTATGCTGTTTTCCCTCCCATTCAATAATCCAAATTGCTTTTATGGTCCTGTGTTAAAAAGTTACCTGTTGTGTAATTAATTGAAATCAACTCTATTGACAAATAAGGTGAACTGACCCAGGAGGCATGTTATTTCCACAGGAAAACTCTCCTGCCAGACTGTGTGCATCAAGCCAGGATACTGAGTATCCTCTTGAGAAGACCATGAACAGCAGTCCTATCAAATCTGAACGTGAAGCACTGCTAGTGGGTAAGAAGCTAACAAACATATGCAATGCATAGGGTATAGCAAAGGATGGGAAGGGTTTACCTAAGATTAATAAGCATACACCAAGAATTTATGAAGCATGATAGTGCAAGAACTCAGAGTTCTGAAGATGAGGGTATAAGAACAAGTACAAATGTCCCTAAAAATTGTAACAGCAGCTCCCTGCCCTTTTCAAGCTCCTTGTAGCCACTGCTGCATGAAGTGTATCAGTACCAGCACAATGCCAAGAGGGGTCAGTGGAGAAACATATTGGAGATTTAAAAAAGTCTCTATGCAAGGATAGCTAAGCCCTCTCATATCCACTCAGGGAGCTAGTGCAGAATCTGTTTGGCAAAGAGCTTTTCCAGATGAGCCTCTGTAACAAGTGTATGCCTCTCGAGTTTTTCCAGGTTACTGACTAAGCTATTTTTACTTGCAACATTTCAGTCACCAAATGAGAGTTTTTGTTTTGTTTTTTTTAACTTCCTACCACCAAATACATGATGCCTTTTCTACTACCACATCTCCAACTTTTCGACACTAACTGGGCATCCTACGATGTAATTAATTCAATTCTGACGCTCACTACCTGAACTTACCATTAAACTCCACAGGTTTAAGAGCTCATTCCCACAAGACTGCCTTCACTTTAGTCACCAGGCTCAAATATCAGGTCCCCAAGTTACCCACACTTCTGTCCACTTTGGCTATAAAGTCAAGAGTTCCCATAACCACCCACCTCAGATTCAATAATTTGCTAGAACAACTCACAGAATTCCAGAAAGTGCTTTACTGACTATTACCAGTTTACTATAAAGGATACAATGGAAGAGATGGAAAGGGCAAGGTATTGGGATGGGGTATGCAGAGCTTCTATATCCTTTCTGGGTGTGCCACTCTCCCAACTTCTCAATATGCTCACCAACTGGGGGGCGGGTGTCTCTGGACCCTATCATTTAGGGGTTTCTATGGAGGCTTCATTACAAAGGCATGATTGATTGAATCATTGGAATTGGTGATTAGCTCACTTTCCAGCCCCTCTCCGCTCCCTGATGTTGAGGGGGAGGCTGAAAGTTTCAACCCTCTAATCATGCCTAGGTCTTTCTGGTGGCAAGCTCTGTTCTAAAGCTAAGGAGCAGCCCCCAGCCATCAGTTATCTCCATTAGCATACAAAAAACCACTCTTATCATTCCAGAAATTCCAAGGGCTTTAGGAACCAGAGACAAAGACCAAATATTTAGGTTTTTATTATATCACATTGGCAGATGACTCGGGAGACAGTGGTATGTTGGACACAAGTGGGCTCTGATGAGATCAATGCAGAATTGCTCTCTCTATATATAAAAATTCATGTTGAGAGGCAAGATAGCACAGATGGTTAAATAATCAGAAAGACCTGGCTTCCCATCTTTACCCCACCATTTGTTTTCTGAGCTTCAGTTCCTCCATCTACAAAATGGACATAATGATATTGTCTACCTCAAAGGGCAACTGTGAGTATTAAATAAAATAACTCATCTAAATCACTTAGCACAGTGCCCGGGCCATAGTAAGCCCTCATAAATGGAAACTACTTTACCCTTAGAGCACTATTCGCAAATGCTTGTTGACTTCATATTCCATTTGGACAACAGTGGCAGATTGAGATTCTAAAATATTTAAGAGGGTCTAATCATTTAAGAGGGGGTGGTCTCAGGCCACAGCAGATAATCCCAGCTGCCTTCTAGGAAGCCCAGCCAACAGTGGCCCCACCCTAGTCTGAACAGTCCTCCACACTGACTGGTTTCTGCATGTTTTTAAGATATATCTGCTTCCTTCGGTAATAGATATTATACTCAGATCTAACACTTTGATATGTTAAATAAAGATGCACAGGGGGATCTGCCATTGAGTCTTCAAGAAACTGACAACTTATTAACGTCTTCCAACTCAAAATTCTTAACAAATTGGCATGGCAACAGGGAGACCTGTCAGAGAAATGCTGAGGGTAGAAGGAAGCCTCTGTAAATGGATAGTCTTCAGAAAAAAGATTCTTAAAATAAGTGTTTATTCTCTTGTTTTTAAAAAAGGTAGTCTTGGGTTGGCAGAGAGGAAGGAAAATCTGTTTTTTAAATCAGTTCTATGGGTTTGAACCCACAAAAACTGCTTAGTGTTTTTAAAACTATGGACTTATTTCTTGGCATTATATAGCTTTTTTTGGCCAGAACATCTAGAATTTCTTGAATGTGGACTGTCTTCTTCAGAATTTCAGTTTCTCAGATAGAATCAGTATTTGAAAATTCGATAACCTAGTCATTTAAGAATAAAGTAGTGTTATAAGTAATAGCATCCCTTCTGAACAGATTTTGCCCCTGCCCAACTTACCGCCTTGCCATCTAATATTTGGAAGATTTTCACAAAGAAGTGATTGACCTTCAAGCTACAATTTAAAATTGTGCTAGTCTTTGTCAGTCTCTTAAAGGGACAGAGGAGTTGTAGTTTATAAACCAAATCAAATTTCGTGTTTATTTCCTGGCAGTTTTCAGCAAACTCAATTCTGGGTCCATTTGATGTACTCAAGATCTTATGAAAGGAGGTGAACTCAAAACAAATTGAAGAAAAAAACTAGTACACTTTTGAGCCATTTATTTTCCACCTGTTGCCAGAGAAAGAAGTATTAGAACAATTCATCAAGGCAGTATGTGAAGCTGCCAATCACCCCACAGTCAGGCTGAGTAGAAATCACATGCATTCCTGAAAGATGTAAACTGCTATAATAATGCTGTTACACAAAGATATTCGGGGCTCTACAAAATGCTAGTGACCACTTGAGTCAGCTATGAATTAAATGTTTGGCTTTTCTTTACAGAGCTACTCACAAAATAAAACCCAAATACAATCAACAGATTGTCTTATGAGAGGCACTGGGTTAATCAGGCAAAGTACAACAGCAAGGCATTATTAACACCTAAGAGGCTGAAATCTAATTTAAAGGCCATGTGAAGGAGCTGCAAAAAACCAGCATAGCCTAAATTCATTGTAAAATTCTAGAATTCAAATGATGTTCAGTCATCACAAATAATGGAAGTGACTGTTCAAATGCCAGCCTTTCTACATGTGAAAGGGGTACAGTGGGGGTACAGTGAGAGGCAGTCCGAGGTCAAGAGTGACTGTCTGGATTCAAATACCAGCTCTGCCACTTACTAGCTGTGTGATCTTGGACAATTTACTTAAACTTTCTGTGCCTCAGTGTCCTCATCTCAGTGAAATGGGGATGGCAATACTGACCTCATGGGGTTGTTAGAAAGATTAAATGAGTAAAATCTGTGTAAACTTAGAATAGTGTCCAGTATGTTTATGTTGTACATATGAGTTACCTCTTACTATTCACTATTATGTGGAATCTCAAGGACTATAAAGCTCAAGTGTAACCTCCATGATATTGTCTCTATAGGGATTATCTCTACATTCCTTCATGTTCACCCATTTGGAGCAAGCATTGAATACATCTGTTCCTACCTGCACCGTCTTGATAATAAGGTATGTGAGGAGGGATGCAGTGTTCTTTGTGAACAAGTGACTTGACTTAAGCATAAATAGACCATTAATTATTGCTCTAAGGAAGCTTCCCTCACCTGCTCCCATTATGATTCAATGTAGAGATTCCCCTTTGCAAATAGGGTGACCATCTGTCCCAGTTTGCCCCGGACTGAAGGGTCTCCTGTGACTTGAGACTTTCGATGCTAAAACCAGGGAAGTCTCAGGCAAACTTGAACAAGTTGGCCACCCTACTTCCAAAATACATCTTAGAAGAATTTTCCTCCTTTCTCTTAATTTACATATAAGCTGCAACTTAACCAGTATCAGCTTTCTCACCCATCAAACTTTTGTCCTGAATTTTTCTTTTTTAAAATTTATTTATGTATGAATTTTTTTTATTTCAGCATATTATGGGGGTACAAATGCTTAGGTTACATATATTGCCTTTGCCCCACCCGAGTCACAGCTTCAAGGGTGTCCATCCCCCAGATGGTGCGTGTCACACCCATTGGGTGTGAATATACCCACCCCCTCCTCCCCCCTCCCATCTGCTGTGCCCTGGATTTTTATCCATTAGCAAATGTTAATTTTCAGAATTGGAGGTCTTACCCCATCCACCTCTCCCACCATAACTACTGCCATTATCTATTACAAAACAATCAAGGCAGGGCCAACAGAGAGAGAGAGAGAGAGAGAGAGAGAGAGAGAGAGAGAGAGAGAGAGAGAGAGAGAGATGGAGCAATAAGCTGAGGGCCTCTGTAGCACAGACTAAATATTTGCTCACAGCTGATCTGATCTCGTGGGCTATTCCTTCCCTGAATGCTCTCCTTTGGGGGAACTCCCAGAGCATCTGGAGCAGGGGTAAGTGCTAATTCTCTAGGAAGTCAAGGATGCCTCTTAGAGGTGGGGGACTCTTGACTCATCAAAATGAATCGACTCATGACACATTTTTTCAGAAGCAACATTCAGTTAAACCTCCTCATGGATTATATTCCTTATTTCACAGGATCTGGGCCTTTTGAGACGTGCCATTGAATACAGATTCCTGACATGTGGATGTCCAAACTTTTAAGCCATTTAAGCATATATCCTCATAACAAAGGCACTGGCACACTTGGGAATCTTATTGCTTTAACTATATTCCAGCTACATACATCCTCCTCAATGGCATTTGCTTTAGATCTAACTAGCACTCCCCCTCATTTCCCTCTGGGAACTGCTGCTATTCTACAATTAAATAGCCCATTTGGCAGTGGAGGGGATAATGGAATGTGAGTACCAGGACCATGCAGTGGTATGAAAATGAACTATATGAACTATATATCAGTAAAAACTATCTGCTTCTTTTTAATTTACAAAAATGAGACATGCACATTATCTTTAAAGTGTAAGCATTATAGAAATATGGTAAAGGGAAAGTAAAATTACCCATAATCCCACTCCTCAAGGAGAACTACTGTTAGTTTGGCATATATTTCAGACCCTGTTCTATACATATGCTGTACCTATAATATATTTATATATTTATAAACATTTTCTATGTTCTTTGAAATGGGGATTCTACTCTATATGATACCCTGCAATGTGCTTCTTTCATGTAACTGGATAGAGTCTACTACCAGCACTGGGAAAAAAGCATGACTTCACTCTAGGCCCAGTTCCTCCTTACCCGCTTCCTGCCACAGTAGTATCAGGGCCTCCCGAGAAGAGCCGTAGTGATACCAACAGAATTTGGGCTCCATCCCTGCAGCTTCAGGCACATTCAGTGTGGCAGCAACTCTGGGCTTCTTTAAGGATCCCTTGGTGTCCTTCAACAAAGCCCTGGTGCCCAGGTTCACAGTTAGGAAGGTACTTTATTAACATTATTAATGTAGAGATGACCACCTAAAAACAAGCCCTAAAGGAGCCCACAGATTTGTTTTTGTGTTTAACTGTGTGTGTGTGTGTGTGTGTGTGTGTGTGTGTGTGTGTGTGTGTGAGAGAGAGAGAGAGAGAGAGAGAGAGAGAAATGGGGAGAGACAATGCACAGAAGTAAGAACACAGAGCACTCCTCATTTCTCTTTACTTTTCCTTTGTGAACTAATGAGCACGTGAAGAATTCTGCTCTGGTGGCAGCCATTTCTGCCTCCCTCCCCTCCCAAAAGACTTGGCAGATTCAGTGGGTCTGCACATAGCATCACCAGCACTGAGCAGCCATCATTCAGCTGGCTACAAACCCAAGCCTCTCCATGAAACTGACCCCAGCTCTTTCCAATAGCAAGCTCAGTGGAGCCTGTCTGGTGGTCACAACAGAGGAACACTGTCATCTGAAAACCACTTTACCAACACACACAAATGCACAAGGACAGGGAGGAGGTTACCCCACCCCCCGAAACACACACACTTATACATCAGCATTTTAAAGTAGGCAACACAAGTAGAACTGGGTTTGAATGGAGATGCTCTCTCTGTCCTGCAGATCTGCACCAGTGATGTAGAATGTCTCATGAGTAGACTCCAGCACACCTTCAAGCAGGAGATGACTGGAGTTGGAGCCAGCCTGGAGAAGAGATGGAAATTCTGTGGCTTTGAGGGCTTGAAATTGACCTAAATCTCTTTGTCTAACAACTTGGGATCCTGAAAATAAATGTGTGTTGGACAAGCTTAGAAAGTGATTTGTATTTTAAATGATTCTCGAGTGGAAATTGATTTAAATTTGTCAATTCGTTCCTTGAATATGTTTTGAGTTAAAATAAGGATCCTAGAACAGCACCTCGAGCTACAGGCCCTAAAAAGAAATTGCCTCAAACCTCAAGTGCTGTAACTTCTTTCCCTTTGTGTCAATTGGTTGTCTTTAAGTATTGAAAAAGTCCTGAGACTAAAGAGTATTTGCAGTGTTTTTGGTGTCTGTACTACTGTTGTAACCCTTGGTATTTTTTTAAACACTGTTAACTGAAATGTTTCGATGATTTGTATGTGACTTGTGTTTTCAAACTTCTCTTTACATTAATGTTGCTACTGGTGAAAGGAATGAGAGCAGCAGTGCTTGGTATCCTGTGTAACTGCCATTGTCTTTCCAATCCCCAGTAGACCTGTAAATGATTAACACATCAGTGTCTTCTAGAAGGTGCTTGACCACGTTCACCTTTTAAATGACAAAGCATGGATTGTGGCTTTTTGCAAAATTACTATAAACCAAACGTTGACAAATGTTCCAAAGTTATTTTGTCTAATATATCATATGAAAGGTCTATTTCAAAATTTTAAAGAATAGATCTAGATGTATTCGCAGAAAGCAAGTAACCAGTATGACTGGCATGTGTTTGTGCTATTCAGAATCACTTGTAAATAGTCTGCTTTAAAAGGAAGGCATGTTTAGTTTTCTATGAATTACAACACACTCATGCGTGGGCGTGCACACACATTAGCAGAGGGATTGATTTTAATATTCTTTCCCCTCTGGCCTTCTTACAGTCTGTTGGCCCCTTTTCTTCTGCTGTCAGTGTGTTGAGTTACAAACCGTGTACTGCTGTAAATGCTATGTTTACTTCATGCTGAATGTTTGCAAAGAGTTGATATAAGTATTAATAGTAATGAATTAATGAATAAATAATGGGCCAGAGTGTGTGAGGCTTCCTGCAAATAGGTCAGCTCCACCTGGAGTGCTGATTGCTGGGGACACTTCCAGTTCTGTGGTGCCCATCAACAGATTCCAGTGGCATGGTATGAGTGGACCATTCAGCTAGTTCTGCTTTACTTCCTGGAAAGGAAAAAGAAAAGGAAAGGGTGGGGGTTTGGGGCTAACATCCTGAGGCAAAGATGGTCTTTTTCTTGTGGTGGTGGTGGTGGTAGCAGTGGTGCTTATGTCACAATTATGCCTTTTCTTGGGTCTCAATTGAGGATGAGAGAATGTATTGAGTAAGCAAAGCCAATGGAGAATATTTCACGAAAATACTTTGTAAATGAGTTGTCAGTAGTGTTCAAAGTTGTATTTTTAAAAGATAAATATTCCTTTTTTATACCTCAGTCTGTGTTCTGTTTTTAATAACTTGCTCTCTAAGTGATCCTTTAGTAGATCATTGCAATTTCTTCCTCTGGGTTATCAGGATGTTGGAAAAAGATGCTAAACCTGCTTTGACAGCTAGAAATAGGGTTCCATAGCAGCGCATTCATGCTGAAAATTTGCTTCCCTCTCAAGCACCCTGCTGTGGCACCAGCAGGAAGCTAGGGCTATTTTCGCACTAGCTTCCTCACTGAAGCATCTCTGTCATCAATGCCAAGGAAAGCTTTGATTCATCAGTCTCAGGGGCTCCTGGAATACTGTATTTTAATAATGTTCATGAAATCAATGGAAACTTTCCACTTATTAGTTATTAATATTTCTTATTTAAATAGGCTAAAATTAAATCAAATTTTAAAGCAACAGCTGCCACATCTAAACACCTTGCTGTCCTTCACTTTATCTATTTGTATTCTAAATTGTCTCTATTACTTTTCTTTCTTTTTCTTTTTTTTTTTTTTTTTTTTTTTTTGAGACAGAGTCTTGCTCTGTTTGTTGCCCAGGCTAGAGTGCTGTGGCATCAGCCTAGCTCACAGCAACCTCAAACTTCTGGGCTCAAGCAATCCTGCTGCCTCAGCCTCCCATGTAGCTGGGACTACAGGCGTGCACCACCACACCTGGATAATTTTTTCTATATATTTTTAGTTGTCCAACTAATTTCTTTCCATTTTTGGCAGAGACGGGGTCTGGGTCTTGCTCAGGCTGGTCTCGAACTCCTGACCTCAAGTAGTCATCCTGCATCGGCCTCCCAGAGAGCTAGGATTATAGGCGTGTCTCTATTACTTTGGCAAGTTTAGAATAGGCATACTCCTCCCAGCCTGCATCATGTGTTGTGATGGTTAATTTTATATGTAAACTTAACAAGGCTGTAGTGCCCAGTTGTTTAGTCTAACACCAGTCCAGATGTTGCTGTGAAGATATTTTTTTGATGTGATTAACATTCAGACCAGTAGATTTTGAGTAAAGGAGATTACCCGTCATAATGTGGGTGGGCCTCTTCTGGTAAGCTGAAGGCCTTAAGAGAAATGATCCAGGTCCTCTGAGAAAGGAATTCTGCCTCCAGACTGCCTTTGGACTCAAAACAACATCAACTCTTGTCAGAATTTATAGCCTGCCGACCAGCCCTACAAACATCAAAATTGCCAGCCCCCACAATTACATGATTTATTTCTTAAAATAAATCTATCTCTCTCATACATATATATATGAATATGCATTATATTACACAAACTGTGGCACATACCATCTCTCACAAGTCTTTCTAATCACCATAGAAATCTATTAATGAAGCTATTTTTTCTTACAATTTCTCAGCACTATTTATGGGGTTCTGTCATTCCTACAGAATTTTGAAATATTGCTGTTTTGTTATGTTTATGAGATACAGTAGTTAGATTTTTCCAGATAACAATGAAAAGAAGCTTTCTTTTATTTTACAAATGCTTTTTCATCTCCCTCCCTAATCCTGTGACATCTCTAATTCTGATTTTTTTAAATATTACCAAATTACTTGTTAAATGTCTTCAATACAAAAGAAAAGGTTATTTTTCAGAGAAAACTAAACACATATCCGCATTCAAGTTATATAGCGTTTTTTTAACTGGATCCAAAATGTATGGTTTTCATATAATGCAGGATAAACGATATTATTTGAAAAGGAATCATAGATGTGCAAGAACTTTTGACTCACCCAGTAGAACTGTGTAAGCCCTTTGGATTGGACAGTCCATCAAATAGATTTGGCTTCATTATTCACCACAATTGCTACCATCTGCTTAGCACCTATTATGTAGTCATGCTGCCCAAAGTCACTCCCTGTCTGTGTGTCTCATGGACACGATAAGAGTTTCAATTTTCTTATAGGCAAAATTAAGGAGAAATAGTACCTACTTCACAAAGTGGTAGGAGACATTCAACAAGATGATAGTATCTGCAAGTTGCCCGACCAGTGCCTGGCCCACAGTGAGTTCCCAATAAAGAATTATGATTTATGATTATTATTCAGCCAAAGTTCATGGCCTTGCCCACATTTTTTAAATACGTTTTTGTGTTCATACCTGGAATTGTGGGCTACATCATGTTGCTGGACCTCAAGGTAGGAAATTCAGCAGTTCAAACATATTCCAAACATTTACTCAATCCCAGACACTCTGCCAGGCACTGTGAGATACAAAAGGAGCATGACTGACCCTTGCCTTTAAGGAGCTTGAAGGGCAGCTGGAACACAAGCCTGAACTGAAGCCTTTCACCCGTTAGCCAAAACCAAAGCAGCTCAGTGTGAAAACATTCAGTGCTGACCAACCTGAGTGGTGTGGATAAGGTGGTAATGACGTCTTGCTCTTGAGACCTGAACTATCACTGTCTGTACCTGCACCCCACCTCCAAGGGGAAAGTTCTATGAGTTCCATGAGATTGTGGTCCTCATTTGTCTTGTTTACTGCCACATCCCTAGAACTTGGTGCATTGTAGGTACTCAGTAAATATTTGTTACATGAGTATTTGTGTAGCATTCTAAACTACATTTGTGTGCACTAATAATAAAAATGATAAAAGTTAGCATTGTGATTCACACTTATGAGGATATATATATATATATACACATTAATTTTTTACTACAATGTAAAAAGTAGATGGGATTAGCCTCTATTTCAGCTAAGCATTGGAGATGTAAAGTAACTTGCTTACATTTCTAAAACAGAGGTGAGATTTGAATCTTGGTCTCTCCAACTGTAAGCTCAAACCTTTCTACTTCTCCAATATTTTATTTAACCTTTATATCAGCCTAAGTGATGTTATTATAAACTCTACATCATTCATTCATGTAGCATTACAGGGCACCTGATAAGTGCAAGTCTTGGTCCTAGAAATTCAAAGGTGAACACAACATGACTCCTTTCCTCAAGAGCTTACAGTCTCATGGGGGAGCCTGCTAAATGACACAGTCATGGTGCCCCAGGTCATTTTCTAACACTGGCACTTCTGTGAGTCTTTTTGTTAATCTATAGAATGGAAATCTACATATATTTTCTTCAAAGGTTCATTTAATGACATTTTGTTCAGTGTAAAAGGCCCAGTTCTATGCCTGGCAAAGTGCTCAATAAATAGCTATAATTATTATCCAACTAATAGTCATATTAACAATGATTTAATGACACCAGACCTACCTTTACAGTAATGAGAACCCTGTAGGAGAATGAGACCTGCTGACTCAGAGAAATTCAGGAGGTTTAACTGAACAATGTTCTATCAAAGGCAGGTAATGTCTGGCCTAAGCCAGACACGGGGAGGAAATTTCATTCTGCTATCTTCTGGTAATCTCAGTATCCTTCCAAATCCACCTGCTCTCATCACAGAGAGACCATATCCCATTAACAGGGAGGTAAAAAGGGCCTTATTGTCCTTCCCATATCCCAAGCTCTATAACATCCCAATCTTTCAGTTTGACTATAAGCTTTAAAGATCTCAACTTGTCTAAATTTTTATCTGAGAGGAAATCTCAAAGGCATGTTTAAACCATTAATTATTGGGGCAACAGCAGGAAGGAAACAGAATTGATTACACACAGGTATGAGCATTCAAGGCTATAGGGTCTTTTGGAGATATCAGATCTTGGGTAGGAAATGGTATGCAGGACATATTAAAGAGTGTTCTGCCCAACTGCATTCATTCCAGTTCCAAATATTAGACTACCCTAAAATTAATAGACCTCTGTGTCATCAGACCTCTGAAACCTTTAACTCATTACTATTCCTCAATAAATACCTTATATGGCACTTTAAAGTGTTTTCAAAGTAGCTCTGTGCAAAGGCATTATGTCATTTGATCTTTACAACACCCTGTGAACTAGCAGAGGCAGATGGCTCCCTCACCATTATTACAGCTAAGGAAAACAAGTTTCAAAAGGATGAAGACCCATACCCTAGGTTGCACAGCTAAGTGGATGATGGAGCTGGGATCAAAATGCAGAATTCCTGAGTCCTCTCAATCTCTACCCTACTTCAGCTCCAGCCTCTGCCAAGTATGACTGAGAGAATACAAAGGGGTATGGACCCCTTGGGAAGTCTGGTGAAACACATGAGCCCCATATCAGAATATTGTTTTTAAATGCATGAAATAAAATACAAAAGATTTCAAAGGAAACCAACTACAGATACTACTCGACTTACTATGGGGTTACATCCCAATAAATCCATTGTATAATGAGTTGAAAACATCTTAAGTAAAAAATGCATTTAATACACCTACTGACCATCAAACATACTTAAACATGCTCAGAACATTAGCCCACAGTTGGGCAAAATCATTTAACACAAAGCATATTTTATAATAAAGTGTTGAATATCTCATGTAATTTACTGAATGCTGTACTGAAACTGTAAAAGAGAATGGCTATATGGGTGCTCGAAATACAGTTTCTGCTGAATGCATATTGCTTTTGCAACGTTATAAAATTGAAAAATCATAAGTCAAACCATTGTAAGTCAGGGACCATCTTACATTAAAATAATACAATATTTAACAAAATATTTTTTAAGAAAACACATTTGTGGTATATTAACATATATGTTCCTGTAACACCTCAAATAGCAATATGTAATGACAGGTCTAATAATTACTCCAATTTTGAAGTAGTGATGAGCATAAATATTTCAAGAAATCTGCAATATCATGTGATATGATAATATCTGTGATCCTGGTGAAAAAGTCACAAGTACTGCTAATATCTCTGTAGTTTGTTGCTTACATTTATAATGGAAGAAAATGCTAAATTTCAGTTCGAGATTAGTGAAAATTTAAATTTAACTTTTCAATTCAAATTTACACACTCACTAAATTCTACCCAGTTTCTAGGTGAAGAACCACTGATAGGAAAGGCTGATGAAATGTAAAGTGAGAATTCTCAAAGTGGGATAAGGATTAATTTGATCAAATGTGTTAGTATTTATAAATTACGGAGAATAGCCCC